CTCCCCGGGCTTTGAGTCTTGCTTCGCTGTATGTCCTGTGGCCTAGTGGTGGCCTAAGCGTGACTTGGCCACCAGTGCTCATGGTGGGCTCTGGCATGTGATATGGTTGGTGATAACTGCACCTCGAAGCTCCTTCTTCTCAGGACCTGCAATGAATGACCTGTCTCTGCAGTCTTGGTTCCAGAAAGGTCTCAGCGGCCCCCTCCTTTAAGAGCTAGTCTGAGCTACTGACATCCCCTGCCTTCATGAACTGGTTGGCCTTGCACCGCCCTTATTCATTCTTTGGTTTCTCTTGGTACTTGACTCAGGCATCTGGAGAACATACATCCTCTGCTTAAAAGAGCTTTTACGTTTTCCTGAATGGCCTGCTGGATTCCAGCCCCATCTACCTGTGCAGTAGCTGCATTCCTCATAAATGCACTATAGGTGGGTATGGGCTTCCAAATGTGATGGCGGCAATGTCCCTTGTTTCTGCCAGACAATGTAATGCTCAGCCTCTGAGAGAGGAGAGGCATCTGCCAAACCCTAGACACCAGAGAAGTGCCCCAGCAGCTGGGACATTTTCCCTTTCCAAGACTCCTACCTGCCCAGCTGGCCTTACCCAAGGCTGACACTCCCAGCCTGGCTGTGGGCCTTGCCTGAGAGGCTCTCACCTCTGTGGATTTCTACCCTGTGCCTGTTTCTCTTAGACAGTGACCTCAGCAGAGAAGCGATGGGATGCATTTAATCTATTTTAGCATGGAAACTCAAACACAGCTGTTTAATTTTTCTTCCTTTTCTTTTTTCTCTTTAGGCCAGTCAAGTGAAGCAGCGGGAGTGGAGATGGAACAAAGAAATCTGCAACTGGCTGTGATCGATGAGCTGTAAACACTGCAGCCTCCTCCTTTTCCTAACTGCATAGGAAGGATGGAATGTATTTCCTTCCTTCTTCTGGGAGTGTTTGAATGAAGATTAGACTCTCCTTGACCATGAATGAAGAGCAACCAGCATTTTAGTATACAGTAATTTAGACTCTGGGTCTAGAGTGTAGGTATCACGGGCACCGTGAAAGTGCAGGAGAAAAGGTTTTTATGCGGGTGGATGGGAGAGGAAATTGTTGATTGTCATAAACTTTTGGGCTATGGCCTCCAGTACATCTGTAGCTTTTGGAAGGCGCTGGATTGAGGCCCTTCAAATCCGTGTCCACCTATCCTTTGCCCATCATTTGGGAGTGATGGCTTAGGAAGCATGTGGTCTAGGTACTGGAGAGGGGCCTGACCCTCCTACCTCACCACTGCTGCTGAATTTGTACACAACGCTCTGACCTGGTTCCATGTCACAAAGGGTTTCATTCCTTCTGATTTCCTGAATACCCAGCTCCTGCCCTGGATCCTGGAACCCTAGTATATGCCTGAAGCTGAATATTTTACTTGCCAGAATAAGAGTTTTTACATAGACTCTTTCATCTTCTACGGGCCCTCCTGTCAAACTGAGGCCGTGGCTGCTGGCTACCACCTAACTCATTTTACATTCTTTTTTCTCTCTTTCTTTCTTCCTCCCTTCCCTTCCCTCCCCTTCCCCTTCCCCTCCCCCTTCCCCCC